TCCTCTTAGAAACACTTCATGTATAAAAACTTTTAAGAAAGACCTTAAGACTCATTTGTTTAAACTAGCTTTTGAATCATAATTTTTATATATTTTACAGCGCTTAGAGCCGACTTGTATAGGCGCTATATAAATCATATTATATTATTATTATATTATTCAACAGCGATATCTTCAAGTGTGAAAGATATGGTATCTTCCACTGGTGAAAGACAGTTTTCGACACTAGAGAAAACCTGGTATTTCATCGATATCTATATAATAACTATTTCTCGATAATCAAATAAGTTGACATATATGTGTGTTTGTGGTGTGTATTTATATACATATGTAATATGGCACTCACGTTTGAGTAATTCGTGTGTCTGTCGTGAGTATGACGTTATGAAGTCAAAAAAGCTGGACGGGATTTGATTGGATGGATATGACGCACAACAACAATGGGAGACCATTTGAATACCAAAGCATCGGAAAACACGCATGAAACTTGCCCACTCAGAATTGTGCTGCATACTGTTATTACTTTCACTACAACGTTAGAATTAAAACACAGATTTGGGCATTTTATACAATTTGAGGATTACGATCCCATTCTTCGTTTGCACGTTACGTCATCGCGGACATGTTGGTACCATGTAACAAAAGGTTTCTCATTAGCATCCATTGTTAACGGTACCACAATGGCCGCCATGTTTTTGTCTTTTAACTCTCTTGGAAATGCTTGCAACCCATCAATTCTAAGTTCTCAAATATTGCGATGGCTTGATAGGGCTAAGTCTTGTAAAGAACGGAATTAAGAATATCTAAAACTTTACATTTCTCTGTTCCTACGTTTCCTATTTAGTCATTAAAGCAATCCCGCGTTAACAAAGAATTTCATTTTATTAGCCCCGAACGTTATTTTTAGATTGTGGTTTCGCCTGTAAATTTCCGTAAAATATTTGAGCCTCCGAGAATTTGAATCCGGATTTTTCGTTACTCCGTCATTCTAACATAGCTTTATAAGTCAAAGAATCGTTCACTGAATTATGGAAAAGTCAACACAAAGAGTTTTCAGTTGGTAATACTTGTGTAAGGATTTTATTAGTAAATCGCCGAAGACTGAAGGTAAATCAATTAGATTATTATTATGTTCCTGTTAAAAAATGACGTCAGTTGGCGCAGGGAATGCTGGTCTTAAATGGAAAGTCGAAGTACAGCACGCAAAGGGATCGTTCGAATTGAAAGAAAATCAGTCATAGATATTGGGATATTGAGTCTAGCTAAACTAAAACGAGTGATCGTAAATCATGGGACAGACATTCCTAATGGATTTTCCAAGCTTAATTTAATCCATAATTGAAATCTTTGTAGTTTGTGAACAGAGGGAGAACACAAGCTAAAATCTTTAATATATTTGTTTTGTTCTGCATTTTTATTTTCTGTACTTCCAGCTCCCTAAATCCTAACATCAAAAACATTGATTTTTATTTTTACTAGTTATAAAGACTGTGACGCTATTCCAAACTTCAGTTACTATAAATCAACCATCGCCAAAATACTTGAACTCTAGGCACAGTTAACAAGGTAAGCTTAGAGATAGGGTTGATGGACGTTAAAAGCCTTTTGATCGTTCGCTTGACCCCGCACACTTTAGTCCCCATGGAAACACACGTATTTGAAAATTTGACTATGAATCGCGGTTAGACGGACGGTTTTCTATGGAGTACCTAGTTTTGTGAGAGAATAATGTGTTCTAGCTGCATTTTGATTGGACAAACAGTTCAGCCCAATTCACATAATGCATGACGGTGATTGGTCACGGGGATTTCAGGACTAAAGCAAGGCAGTGCACAGTGATCCAACTTAGTATTACTTGAGCGCACGATCCCCTCTCCCCTCCCCTAGGGCCTGAAACTCAGGTTAAATCAGTAAAATTAATACAGCGATAAGACTTTTCATGTTGGTAACGGTCTTGCGTGACACGTATCATGTTGATGAGCATGCGCACTAGAGTAACGAAACGGTCCATTGTTTTTTTTTTGACAGATTAAAAAAACCGTTCAATATGAAGACCACTGTAGCAATACTGTCCCTATTCTGCCTGATTTCGCTTTGCGAGTGTTACACCTCTCTACGTCCAGGGAACTGTAATCTATGCTATAAAAGATGCAAAGCGAGGGCTGCTGATGGTTGCTTCTATAGATGTAGTAATCGAGCCTCTCATGAGATGATATCTTTGTGTTTGGAAATGTGTTATATGTCAGCCCTGGATTACTGCATGAAAACGATCGTGTGCCGAGTATAAAGCGTTTTCATTCACGTGACAAGGCATCCATATTTGTTTACCAGACAATAGAAACTTTCTGCACAATTTTTGCATAAAAATAGAGTTCAATTCCACGAGGATAGAAAATTGTTTTGGTACACCATTATGGCTGCTGTGACGTCACGTGAAGACGCTTTATACATGTTTACTATTGTGACGTATTTCCAGTTAACCGGGGTCAAGGATATCAATGAAGAAATCTTTCGTTGACGACAGAAGACATATTTTGTCAGTTACGTTGTCGGGATACTTGTCCCTTCAGTGCCAATTTGTCGAGCTGCGACGTGCAAGATGAATCAATCGAAAATTGTTTTCCCTGAAGGAAAATATTATAAACGTTTTCACCGAGCGTCATCCCGCTTTTATACCGGAAATGACGTTTAACTTTGGTTGGCCTGTCTTAGTTAAAGGGAACCGGATATACGTCACATGATATAAATAATGATTTGTATATATATGAATGAAGTGCATATGTATTCTTAGAACGACTGAAGAATATGGTTTTGAATTCATTAGCACTGGGCTTCCAGTTAATCATTATAGATAGAATTTGTGGTTTTGAAGTAGATTACTGTAATTTGTATTGAAAAAAAAGTATTAAAAAAGTTCCAGCATCGGTGCATTTGGTACTGTGAAAGTAATAGTCCTAATCCCCTGTTTTCCAATTTTAGATCATGTGTCATTCCCTAGAGTGTTATTTCTTTGTCTAACGGTTGAACAAGAGCAGATGGATACGACTAAAACAAAAAATCTTATTCTCAAGAGAATAACACTTGGTCTGAAATGAACAAAACATTAAAGTACACCCAAGTGGATTTGGTCCATTCAAAGAAAACCGGCAAAACGGGTCAGGTGATCACTCGCCCACCATTCAGAGCACTTCCAGGGTCTGGGATAAGAAAGACGGCGTCTGAACATATTTGATAAGACAGGCAATAAATCGATGCGGTTCTCATTGAAAGTTTTTTATTTAAAAGCTGATCGAGTGCTTTTGTTTTTCCTGTCTCACCCTTAAATTTCCTCACTTAAGCCAGTCGAGAGGAAAGTGGATCATTGCGCAGGTGCACCCTGTCATGTTATCATTTCAAGGAGTTCCAAAGACCCGAAGCCACTCTCCCAACTAAGCATCAATTTTTACAAAGGTTTTTCATAACACAAAAGTAGAATAAAAACAATGCCAGTGTTCATTTATTCTCTTAACTTTTAATATTCATTTCTTATTTTAAGCTTATTTATTACAACATTATTTTTTAGGTACTGCATAAGGTAAAGTCACCCAGAAGTCACATGACATGGCACGTGATCAATTTTCAGAGATCAAACTTTCATGACACGTCACAGGTAGCTCAAGCTTGGTTTCTGTGGTGTCCTGTTATAAGGAAATGTATGGGGATTCATCAAAAATTTCAATAAAATCATCAAAACGTGAAATAAAGCCTCGAAATTTTACCCGATCATTGAGAAATAGCACTTCATTCGCTCTGCGTGGTTATTTTTTGAATTAGCACGTTTTAAGATTTTTTCCCATTTCTTACTGGTGGGAGAAAAAATCCTTAAAACGGGCTAAATTCAAAAAATAACCACGCAGAGCGAATGAAGTGCTATTTCTCAATGATCGGGTAAAATTTCGAAGCTTTATTACACGTTTCAATGATTTTATTGAAATTTTTGATGTATCTCCATACATTTCCTTATAACAGGTCACCACAGAAACCAAGCTTGGGCTACCTGTGGACACGTGTGCCCACGAAGTTACAAACAACTCCCTTTATTTTCTTTTTGCTTTTCACCCACAATAAAGCTTTACCATACGGTAAAATTTTTACAAGTCGTGTGACATATGGGTGAATTGTACCATATGCAGTAAAGTTATTAATCTTTATTTTCTTAATCAATAATAAGGAAAGTATTGAAGAACGGTATATATATGTACATACAGACTTAACGAATCAAACGGTCGAAGTTAGCGATCACTAAACTCAACAATAGACGACTTGCACTAAGAGGTCACGTGATCAAATCGGCCATTGTGACTGGCATTTTACAGGATTTTAGCTATGTGAGAATGTAAAAAAAGATGGCGGATTCGGTAGTTTTTTGGGTGACAAAAGGTAAGTTAGCGCACTAAATAACTATAAGAATCCCCTTTTCTCGCAAGAAATATATTCTGAGTAGATGCCTAAAGTACATTTTTGCTATTAACTAGCCAAGAAGAAAAAAAATATGGTATTTTTGCAATAGGATGTGAAGACCTACGAAGTGTTTAGTATCGTTTTGCTGGCTTCACGACCTCAAAACATACAATATTTTCCCTCTTCCTGGCGAATGAACAGCAAAATTCTACTTAAAATATCTATTAAAAGTATATTTCTTGCAAGAAAAATGCAGTTTTCAAGAATGAAGTTGAAATATACTTGAAAAGTTTCGACAAGAAGTCGTTGTTTTGAGGTCATAAAGCCGGCAAAACAAGACTAAACACTTCGTAGGTCTTCACATTGTAGCGCAAAAAATACCATATTTTTTCTCTTTTTGGCGAGTTAATAACAAAAATCTACTTTAGATATTTACTAAGAATATATTTCTTGCAAGAAAAGGGGATTTTTATAGTTATTTAGTGCGCAAACTTACCTTTTGTCACCAAAAAAACTAACCGAATCCGCCATTTTTTTTTTTTACATTCTCGCATAGCTAAAATCCTGTAGAATGCTAGCCACAATGGCCCATTTTATCACGTGACCTCTTAGTGCAAGTCACCTTTCCTTTTAGACACTTGGGACTTTAAGATTTGCAAAATCTACGACGACGACGTCAACCGGAAGTGTAAATAATTTCTCTTTGGGGTTCGGTTCATTGGAGATTTTATTCAAGACATTGTCAGTAAAGTCAACTCATCTACAGGGAAGACAGACTTTGAAGGCGCGAAACCCCAAAGAGAAGTTATTTACACTTCCGGTAGACGTCGCCGTCGAAGATTTTGTAAATCTTAAAGTCCCTACTTTAATATATAGAACGACGTCCTCAAAGTTACATCAACCATGATGGAGAAACTACACCAAAATAGATCAAGACTGAAACACGAGAGAAGGAAAGGTCTACCTAATCTCAATAAATTCTCATTCATGCACAGCGGTCTCGAATAGCCAAGATAGCGGTGAGCTTCACATTCATATCAAGACTAAATGTTTTCCAAGATGGCTGAAGTAACGATGAAAAGCCGGAAAAGCTTTGGTCGTTCACATTAGTAGGACAAAGCACACTGAAATGTGGTTTATACTAAGATAACAAGCTAAACGGAAAACTTTATAGAATTTATAGTTTGGTATATTTACATTATCGGTTTCCATAGTTTTATAATCATAATTTTCGAGGTTTTTATTTAATGAATTAAGTTTGTTTCGGAATGAAACTACTGCGTTTCTGAGAAGAAATCATAATTATCTTACTTATGAGAAAAAAAGCCAACCAAAGGTCTTTGTTTTATATATAACTAATGTTAATTAGATTATTCATGTTTCATAAAATCAATATTTATCTGTTAAATATAGAACCTTTATAACACAATGAGCCCATGTTAACATTTGTATCTTTTATATAGTTAGCAGTCTTCTAGTCCACTACTGGACCCACTTTTATCTGCGCGCGCGCGGTAAAAACATGAGAAGAGGATCTGGATCGAGAGCTTGCGCGCGCAAAACAATAAACACAATTGTGAAAAGTGGGTCCAGTTCTGGACTAGCAGTCTTCTCGCTTCAAAATAAGCTTTTCTGAATATGTCCTTCCTTTTGAGTTGTGTTTGATCGATTCCTAATGGTAGATTAAAATATCTGGACGACACCGATGAATTGTGGTCAAGATATCAAAGAAATACTGAAATGTAAAGTACAATCTGAATTTCATGAAGAGGCCCTGGTTAGGGTCCAAAATGGCCGCCACACAACCAAAGGAACTCCAATAGCGATTTTTGATATCGAAATGTCAATATAACAGTGTTAGAAGAAGAAATGTATAACTTGGGCTCCGGTTTTATTAATAGACCTAAATAATAACTCTACGATATATGAAGAAATAAATATTTTAAATACTTAGCTTAAACCTTAACTTAACAAACAATAATGTAGTATTAAATAAATGTATATATTCCGTTTACAGAGTTTAGCTTAACCTCTACATGATAATGATAATCTTAGATATGCGCTATGCGCAACAAAAACTCTTACTTTTTACTCTCTCGGTCTCGATTGGTCAAAATCATGGACATGAACTCGTCCCCAATCTCTAGCGACCATCGGTTTATTCCCTCCTCGTTACCAGTCTTACGTCAGTCCTTATACGTTACTATTAGAAGTAGTTCATATTAGTCACAGACAAGATCTTTTGTTGTCGTTTTTACACTGACAGGCATGAGACCCTGCGTCTTTAAATTGAGACACCACTTCTATTCACACTCTTTATATTACGTTACGAAAACATTACTCAACTGGGTTTTTTTCGTGTAAAAAATATTCATGAATAGTTTGGCAAGGGAGGTCTGAGAATCAGTCCAAACTTATCAACATCTCATTGGCTCAAAATCTAACACGTGATGGTCTAGCTCTTTCCCAGTCTACAAGTAAAACCCATATTCAGAAACCCAGTTCCTATAGCTCGAGTCATGGTCATGACCAGTTTTCCAATCCGCTGAAAATTTCTTAATTTGCTATTGCTCTTGGTACGGACGGAAAATTTTTTTTTTAAGTTTCTAGCCTTAAATATGGTCTGAAAATGTATATTAATGAAAATAAATATACAAAAAACACTTGAGAATTTTTGTTAGAATAACTTTTAAACATATTAGTAACCAGAGAATATAAATATTAAATTCCTCAGTCAACACAACAGAAAATCTCCTAAGTTACTTTAGGAAATATTTGTAGTTTTTCGTCTCGTTTTTGTTGAAAAAAGTTGAAATTAGTTTTTTAAACTCTTGTAATAAAAAACTAGATGAGAAAATATTCTTATATATTAACCAGAATGGAATTATTGCGATTATCTTATTTATCAAGCATTAGCTTTTATATATAGCGTACAAAATGCAACATCTATTAAATATTATCAGTTTTAAGCCTTTAGCATTATTAATAATTTACCTAGGCAATCTGTGCTCTAATTTAATTTTCATGCCTTGAATATTAGTGATAAATAGAAACTATAAAAAGAAGCAACCAGTTTAATATTTGCGATAATGTGCAAAAAATATCAATGCTAAATTTTAGATTGTCATTGCTTCTGCCTTTTTAAGACCAAATGACTAAGACCTAGGGCAAACGTCGAACTTTCCATGCACCGAACTCACATTAAAGACAATGGATATCAGGTGATAATGAGGCGGCATTCTTTGATGTAATTAAGTTCGCTGCATGGAAAGTTCGACGTTTGCCCTAGGCCTTACACATTATAGAAGTTTGAAGAATGCTTTCGGTGGACTTAATATAATTGAATGCGACCCGCACAATCCAATACATATATATATCTATTTACATCCCCTAGGGACCAGCCATGGGATAAATACAGTAGAAAAAATAACTTCTCACGTCTGGCCAGCGGCATTTAGGGAAAATTATGCGCGAATCTTAAGGCAGCAAATTTTGAGAAGCTGGCTTTGCAGGAACCTTAAACACTTAGCAATAGCAAAATATTTCACAAAGAGGGTTATAAAGCTGTTTTTACCTTATTAATTTTTATGCTTTTATGAGCCAGTTTTATCTTAATGTCATGAAATATACATGTCACGTTACATGATAATACATTTACCTAGATTCTTTCCCAGTCATTTTATCTCTTATGTCACACGACCCGAGCCTTTTGCCACAGGTTTTCCAAACATTACGTTTTGAATGAACGAGGAAAAGGGCGCACTGCACTACAGAATATCTCTCTAATTGTGAAACTGTCATTCACAATTACTATAATAATTATATTTTCTTTAATCCCATATATGTAACTGTCCAATTATTTTCTTAATTGGACAGGTCTTGTTGATATGGGATTAATTATGCAGCTATATAATTAATAGGTAATGGGATTTCATGCTCCCCAATCAAGAAATAATTAGACTCGAAAAATTCCTCTGACTGACAAATTGGACTCGGCCTACGGCCTCATCCAATTTTGTCAGTCCTCGGAATTTTCCTAATTCCAATTTCTTAATTGGACAGCATGGAGTCCTATTACATATACTAATAGAGCTGTTATGTTGTGACGTATTTCCGGGTCCAACTGCTCAGAAAAACGGATAGAATAAAGTGAAAAATGTTCTGAATGATTTCACCTCTAACTGAAATAATTACAACTTTTGACAAGAAAATGTAAAGAAAAATCTTTATAGAACTATAGCATTTTGGACCCGGAATTCGTCATATAAGGCTGCGTTCATAATGTATGGCAGAAGGGGGGAGGGGGGGGGGTGGGCAGGTGAATTGAGGGAGGATTGGGAAAACGTTGGTAGGAAAAAAGGGGGGATGGGCAAATTTTTATCAGAAAAATGGAGGCGATGCACAATTTTTGGAAGAATCTACAAGCCTTGCTTAGGGGGGATCGTATTTTTTTGCATGACTTTAAGGGGGGAGTTAAGAATTATTCTGGACATTTCAAATTTTCACCTGCCCCCCCCCCCCCTCTTCCATACATTATGAACGCAGCCTAAATATAATATTCTATATCATACTTATATCCTTT